CATTGTGGCTATAACATGCAACAATGTGTCAAAAATTTAATTAAATTCTGATTTAAAACACATAAAATATCCCGAGGGGCTCAAATCCGTGGGAAAAGAAAATCACGTGGTAAAGTGATGCTTTCCGCAGGCTAGATCAGTGTATAATTAGGTATTTTTTAGAGGGGAGTAGAAAAAAATATATAACACGATCAAAACGTATCAAGATTTTGAAATATTTTATATGATATTGACAGATTTTTTGTGTAAAAATATTAGACCTTTTCTTATTCCATTTTACATTTTCGCTCCAGGTTTCTAAAATACAGAACGTTGAACTTAAATAAAAAAATAATGTAAAGTGTGCCTTTTTTATTTACAAAAGTAATACGAAGGGTTTAAGCTAACAGGAAAATTATACCCAACAAAATTTAAGCAAATATGTAAAAACTGGGAAATTGAAAATAAAGACGTTATATTTCAACGAAATTCAACGCCGCATGTTTTAAAAATCAGTCGTGAAAATGTCAGGTCACAATATTTTCAGCACAATAAGTCATTGACGGATGGCCCATCTTTTCGACTCACCCCATATATGATAAACGTTTACAATTTCGATTGAATAAATTCCAATGGCAATAAATCGAGAAAATGATTTCTGGATTTCGAAAATCACTTCCCGCTGCAATGCCCCTGCAGTAGCATTCGGAAAGTGGATCGACAATCACTCGTGTAAACTATTCCGCAATTACTTCAACCTGTAGATTATTGAAAATTCCCAATTCAGGTAGACCGCCAGTTTAAATTGAGTAGATCGTTAACGCTACCCACCCGTTAAATTTAGCGCTACCTTAGAATTCCCTCCCTAGATAATTCCTAAAAACGTCTTGTTTCATGCAAAAAAGGTTCAATTTAAATTTAAAATCTTAAGAGGTGTTAACTTGGGCGTCGAAAAAGATTACCAACTTATTTCTGCGTCGAATACAAACCATTCGAATTTGTACGGTAATAAAATATCATAAGCTATGGAAATGGACTAGGAATACTTAAGCCACATTTATTGCGAAGCATGCATCACCTATGGTCGGGTCAAAAGGCCGAGGGTTTCCCGTAGGCTGGAAAAATCCGCATGGCATTTTATGGTTCATCGGTGTGCTCTTCTTATAATCTTTGTTCGAAGGTCGCTTTCAGAAGTGATTCAGTACTAACCTTGGATTGTAGAATGTAGAATTGTTGAATGCCAAATGTAAATAGGCATAAGAATAGAGCTTGCTTTAACTTAGCTTTTCATTTTTCTTTTGTATGCAATAGAACTATAAGAGAGTTTATTAAAAAATAATGCTAAGAATGAGTGAGGACGGAGATGGTAAGTTTTACTGTAGTCGGTACGATTTGTGATGCCATAGGTGGCAATAAAATGCCAGACAGCAATAAAGATTAAAACAACACCAAAAAAAAGGAAAAATAAAAAATATATACCACACCGTATAAAATATAATTTGCCAATAGTAAATATAAAACCATATTGAGTTTATATTTACGAAACGTCTTCATCGTCAGAGGCAAAATTGGAACTGCTACTTCTAGAAAATGGACCTTAATCTACAAATTATATCAAGTCTATTGTCTTTTTCCTAATTTTATTTTATTATATTTTCTGTAGGTGTTACACAACTGACCCAACACTTACTACTGCACCATAATCCTGCAATATTTTTATTATTTGCGCATACAAACACCAATTCTTTGGTATTAAATATGCATTGCATTGCATCAATATTTCGTCAATTGAACTGAGGTGACTTTTACTTGATAAAAATCCATTTAACAAAATAAATAAGAACTAAAAGTTCACATTTTCACGAAATTATATATTTTCACATGACAATTGTTTCGACAACAAGGTGTCTTTATCAAAAGTAATATTTACAAACTACCTGCTACTATATATACCGAAAAATGACCATAAAACCTTAATTAATGTTGTTGTGAGAATTTAAGTTTAATAATGTGTCATTTTTCATCATCACAGGCTACTGTAATACTTTTTACAAAGCTTCTGGATTCCTCCTGCGTCGGTTTTCGCTGAGTCGAAATTGCTGACGTTTCGCCAATCATTCTGTTGACTTCTTCAGAGCTTGACTGAAACTGGCTCGTATTTTGACAAATGTTTTGAAACTTTTTGACTGAGTTCTCTTACGTATGTAATTGTTTTAAATTGTTCGTGTTCTGTATTAGGTTTCGGATAAATAGAGTTTACTGTTGTCTGGATTTACTTTTTTTTTATAATTTTATGGATAATGGACGGATTGTAGCCGTTGTTCAGTGCAATTTGTTTAATGATATTAAGTTCTTTATTGCAATTTTCCATTGAAAGTGGCGTATTAAGAAGTCTGTGTATAAAAGAGTGAAATGCAGCCATTTTGTGTGTATAAGGGTGATTTGAGCTCTTATGTATGACTGTGTCCGTGTGTGAAGGTTTATGGTAAATGGAAAAATCTAATTTGTTTTGCGTTTTCGTAATAGTTAAGTCTAAAAGATTAATAGAGTTATCCTGTTCAATCTCGATAGTGAATTTTATACGTAATTTATAAAAGAATTCAATTGTCTGTCCGTTCCAACAAAGCAAGCAAGTACATCATCCACGTATCTATACCACCATAAAAAACTTTTACTTAAAGGATGTTCTAATATTCTATTTTATGGAAAAGTTCTGGTTTAGGAAAATTGTTGGTTTTTGAAATATATTCTGGGAGAACGATTATGTTATTTTCAGAAGCTTTGTTTTTGATAGTTTTTACTAGTGACATTTGAGAAATTTCTTGGCGTTTGTTGTTATCTATTAATTGAGAGTTTATTATATTCGCTAATACAGGTTTGTTTAAATTACAATCCTTAATGTCCTTAATTGCTAATTCACAGTAGAGCCCTAAACAATTTAATTCTCTATTAATGTTCGAGTGCTGTAAGTTAAAGTTGAAACCTTTTTCCAGAAATTCAACTTCATTTTTAGCAAATGTTGTCTAATTTTAGCTTTTGTCAAAGAAACATTTTATGAATGATAGATGAAATGTCTGCTTGAACTCTATAATCAAATGTGTTGAATTCTAGAGGATTAAGTCTATAAAACAATTCAACATAAATGTTCATTAAAATTCTTAGTATATGAGCGGAAGCACGTAAAATACGGAGGCACCTTCTCCCTTGAGTTTATGACTGACTGTGCCATGGCAAATTGTCGGACTGTAAAACATTTTAGAAGTGCTTACGAAATATGTCATCTGTCTGAAAAACTCGGCGGAAGAAAGTCACAGATAGACTCGTCAGAATAACTTGATAATGCTAGATTTGTATAACAAATACCGGCAGCAGCTGGATTCCCTAAGAATAAAAATTGCAAAAATGTTTAGAAGAAATCGCAAAACAGTTACAAATTCTTACGAGAACAAAAATATCTGGGACCAACTGCAAAAATAGGTGGAAGAGTTTTTTTTCACTTATAGTTCAAAATATCTCTACTTTTCACGACGTTGCTGAGATTAATATAACATTTTTAAAGAACTTTGGCAGCATGGATACAAAATTTAAATTCATTATAGAAAATTGTACCTTAGTACATTCTTCACACACCTGCTTTTTTAACACCATTTATCAATATATCCAAATTTGGAGCGGAGAGACCAAATTATTACTATAAACTCAATATACGCAACAAACTTGTGTTGTAGTTATATCATCCAGCCTCAGTACCTCGTACAGCGTCGATAAGTCCGTGAATCCAAAACAAGTCGAGATGTCGGGAAATCAGTTGATTGATGAAGGGGCTTTTGTATTTCATCGTGTCCGAAAGCGCTCGAAACACACTGCGGTGTCAGTTTATTCGGTGATATTATCCAGAAAAGTTAATTAATGTCGTCGCTGTTCGTTTGTTTTATTAAATGAAGCGCAAATCCACAGACTAGTTATTGTATTGCATTTATGTTTAGGATGGCGAACTAATAAACGAATATGCTTTAACTGTAATACAATGGCTGTGTCGTCTCTACGAACGTTGCAAAATTGTAGTTCCTGGTACTCAGTAGCGAGAAATAGATTGAAGTACGTATAGATCAGATATACCAAACCGAATGATTGATTGATCATTCTTACGGTGCGTGAAGACACACAGAACGAGGCAAAATTATTTCTAAAGTAAACAATTTAGACAACATTACAGTAATTTTTGCTAAAATAAGCTTTAAAAACCCAAGAGATGCTACAGGGACTTTGGTTTTAGTCAACAAAACTTGATTATTGAATTTTAACCAGTTTCTGGTGGTGCTATACTTTGATATTTTCGAACCGGTCTTGCCAATATGTTCTTTGTAAGTTTTGCCATTAACAATTCTGCTGAGGGAGGAGTTTGGTTGAAATTTGTCATCAATATTCAAGTAAACTTCTGAAAAATGAAATATACAATATTTTAAAGCATATACCAATCCTACGAGAAAACCATACACTCTAGATGATCTACCCACTATAACATTTACGTATGCTCTAAAAGATAACTGCTTCTCAAAAGTTGCTCCCCGCATCTTTGCAACTCTAGCCAACACTGTTCAAGCAATTTTACAATGAAATTCTACTTGTTTATTCTTTGTACTAAAGCTGAGCAGTTTTAAAATATAATTTATTGTCCAGTCATATATTCCCAGAAGTTTTAGGCAGTCAATGTAATTTTCAACTATAGCATAAAGTTTTACATCATTAGCATATAAAAGGTGAATAATAATAGTCAGAATAACACTTACAACACTTCGCCATAGTCTCACATACAAATTTGATTTAAAAAATTTAACCAAGTTAGTATGAAAACCAAATAATTTTTGTCATACAAATTATTTTAGCATTACAAAAAAAATTGTTACGAAGGTGAAGATAAATCTATTAAGAATAGTTTCCGCCACTGATTGTAGGTATTTAGAGCTTTCAATCCGGGCATCTATGATAACGCATCGTAAGTACGACTATAGCTGTCTTACCTTTTTCGCAAAACTCCCCCTCGTAATCGGAATTCCTACATTCGCAAATCGGGCCGCTATCGGTTGATATGCATATGCCGCCATGTTGACACGGGTCCCTTATTTCGCACGCGTCGCTGCTGTTTCCCCTTAAAACCTGCAATCAATTATACGAAAACGAATGAAAAATTTGTACCCCTTTCATATTTCATTACATTTTGTGTCTTTAATTTCTCCTTGAGTGAATATTTTTGAAAATTAGTTCAAGAAAGGTGTCCGATACTACTTTAAAGCTTTTTAAATTGAGTATGATTTAGTAATATCAATTCCTAAAAGCGCGTTTAACGTCTCTGTTCAATAAAAGACACTTTTGGTAGATGGGATTCCCTGTCCCGGGTAAAATCTTGACAGAAAGGGCGTTTTTAAGGTCTCTTTATTAAGTGTAAACAATATTTTTAAAAAAATCCGCAATTTGTTTTTTATTTTTTGTGGTTCAAAAATACACACTAAATAATTGTTCAGACTTTTTTCAATTTATTTACACTTGGGTAATATTGAACTTGAAACCAGCGTTTTTTGTCCAGTTGCACAAAATTTGCTTGCCGGTTTTGTTGTTATTCCTGTTAGTTTCTTCACAAACTCTAAAAAACTCAAAAAAAAATCTATATAATATGTCGGTCTAACATACTTCTCATTGTTAATTATAAACATTTTCTTTTACCAAAATGCGCAACCTCTACTTTTAAAACTTATTATTAATTCTATATATAGAATACAAACCGCACAAAAGAAAAGTTTATTTTATTTTTCTGCTGCTAACTAAAATTTTTAAATTTTACCCCATAGTGAAGCAGTGGTTCTACTTTTTGGAAAATTTGATTAGATAATTTAAGCACGTTTGTTGTCTCGCGCACAGCAATTTATACGAACGATTGCAACAATCAAATTCCATAAAAATAACCGTCGGCGCTAGGGAGTAGATTTATGCGGGCCAAAATTAATTTAACGTTGCCGGTATACGGATAAATTTTATATACAGATTTGTTGCCTTAACGTGGAAATATCGAAATGAATTATTGAGCCCGGAAAAAACGTTTTTGTATCCCCTATTGCTTCGGGTTGTTTCGTCGTTGATTTATGGCCCTTGCATTTTCGTTTTATTTTTATTTTCCTAGAATTCTTTAAACTGCACTTTGCCCAATTGTGCGGCAACCTCAGCCATACTGTAATGTGTTTTAATTAATAATAAACTGAAATTAAATTTTAGTTTTTAATGGATAAGATATTCGGTTCGGCTTGTGGGTTGTTCTTGTAAATAATAGTTTCCAATGAAATCACCAACAAAAAAAACATGATACAATTTTTTATAACGCCACAAATGAATATTGTAATCTTTGTTTTATTGATTGTCTTGCTGTGACATAAGCTTTCTTGATTTTCACAATATGAATCACGTCAAAGGCATCTTTAGCTACACCACTATATTGAAAATTTCCTTTTCCTAAAATATCTCCATTTATTCAAAAGCATTACAGAATTTTATTTAGTTTATTAATTTAAAAATATCTTAAATAATCGCTTGTTCAATATGCAATAGTTTCGCGCTATCGTCTTCTTTATTACTTATCATTCTTATTTATCATTTAGTGCCTTGTTTTGGTGATTTGTGAACGTATTTAATTCTGATATTGTTATTGGAATTTGTTATTAGATAAGTATTCCGTAGTTTTAAGTGCGACGTACATTTTCTGTTTACTACACAAAATGCAAATGTTTATAATTACTCCCTTTACACTTTGGAGTGACCTTTGACAAAAGACTAACACCACGAGTAAATTTAAAATTTTTTCTACTTTATATACATTCTATATGGCATTCGCGAGATCAAAATTAGAATATGCCTCAGTTATCTAGTTTCTTTTTGCTCGGCAAGTTATATATTGTATTGTATTGTATTGTATAGGATAAATAAATAGATATTACTCTTACGTAAAATTGAATGAATACTTTTAAGTCACTTGGAAATATTTAAGTAGCGATGCTTTTTATTTCATTGGAAAATGGCATATGTTCTTTAAACCTTTTTCCACTTTTTATACCAAGAAAGAAACACTTTTTGGTCGAATTTATTTTTTAATTTTAATAATGGTAATAATAAATTACTTTTATTTTCAATAATAAGTTTTATAAAAAAAAGTTCTAGCTACTCCGTTGAAGCGGTACGTGGCACAATAGTGCAAAAACTTAAAGAAAGTAACGATGACTGAAAAAAAAACGATATTAAACCCGTAAAGTCGTTATAACATTTTTTTATTAAAAATACTACGGTTCTCCTTTAAAAATGTTAACATTTAAGTTCAACAATGGTTTAGGTATTGATTAGTGATATTGAAACAGGGTATTCCGTTAATGGGGGTTTCCAAAAATCCCCTGTCGTCTTGCATTCCTATTATGGATTTCCATTTTAAGTACTCTAGGGGCTATTTATAATTTACATTATTTTCTACCTTTCTTCAACCTAAGTCTTATAAATTCTGAAATAAACCGAATTCCACACTTTTATTGCCTATGCGGAATAGTTCAAATTTGGCAAGGCATGACTGTTTTCTCAACGTGTGGCCTAAAATATGTCCTTTGAAATATTTTTTAAATTGTTCAAATGTAAGTTTGCTACCTAGATATATGCCCAAATATTTTGCAATGCATGCAATGCGCGAGTATTTTTCATGAAGTCCAATACCTTTCATTTATATTTTAGTCGTTCACTGTATATTCTATTAACATCAGATGGCGAAAACTGTAGAACGACATGCGAAAAGAGTTGTACTTTTAATTCTCTATTCTAAACGCATCACATTTTTCCAATACAATAGTAATTGAAACAAGAAACCAAAAAAATACCACAAGATTACTGAGGTATTTAAAAAAACACTACTTTTTTTAAGTTTGAGCCGGTAGTTTAAAAACTGCTAGTACTACTGTGCTAGTTGCAAAATTCGAAAAAAACAGGCCAGCACTTAGACTGCTTCGAAAGTAAGTTATATTATCAATTGTAAAACTAATAATTCGGCTACTATCACAAAAACACGTTAGGGCTGACTCGCGGCGACCAATAAGAAGAACCCTTAAAACCTAACCTCGCAAAAGTGAGTTTCGTTTCGTTGCGATTTATTTCGGAGAGTCCCAAAGTGACAGGAACGATAAAAAATTTACCTTCCCGAAGGGATGCCGTGCTTTAGCTATTTTTAGGAACGGTAAATATTGTCTGGAAAACGCGTCGCCACTTCACCGCCAAATATAAAGGTTAAGCCAGTCGACCGACGTCGTAGATAATATATTGACCTCTGGTTCGCGACAACGAAAAGGCATCCGCAAATACATAAAATTTAATGGCTTCTGGTCCGTGTGCATTGTTGGTTGCATGTGCGATAAGTAATTGTGACTCCGTTATGTCCCGGGCATTGCTATTCGTTAAGCAACTTTTTTATGGTAATAGCATATTATGCAACAAGTGCGGTAAACGGCATTTGACTCACGAGTTTGACACGAGCGGAGCGCAGCGGATCGTTCATTTTTGGGTACATTTTCGCTAAACAACACGAATACATTCATTGACATGGCCGTCAGAATTGACAAACGTCAAATTCAAAGCGTGGGAAACATATCCGAAATCATCCGATTGCTCCCAAATCCGTGCGGTAAAATCCCGGAAATGTCCGAAGTGGCTCGGATCTGTGGGAAAGGAAACTGACGTGGTAAAGTGAAGCTTCCCGCACGCTAGATCGGTAGGTAATTAGGTATTTTACAGACGGGAGTAGAAAAAATGTATTCCGTGTGTGGTTTTTCACCCACTTACAACCGTTATTATGGGTCTAAATAGTTTTTTCTACTCGCACCTGTAAATACCTAATTATACACCGATCTAACGTCACTTTACCACATCAGATTCGTTTCTCACTGATCCAAGCCACTTCGGACATTTCCGGGATTTTGCAGCACGGGTTTTGGAGCACTGTTTTCGGAGATATTTCTCACGCTTTGAATTTTGACATTTTTCAATTCTGTCAGTCATGTCAGTGAATGTATTCGTGTTGTTTTGCGATAATATACCGAAAAACTAACGGTCGTAGAAAAAGTATAGTATGTAACATGTTCGGTAAACTTTTTAAGTCACTCGTTCATTAAACACTCGCTCCGCTCGTGTCAAATGCCGTAAGTCAAATGCCGTTTACCGCACTTGTTGCATAATATACTATTGTTTTTATAAGCCATTGTTTTCTAATTTCAAAAGACACGGTTTGTTGACTTTTGGTACTGCCAAGCAATACCGATGACATTTTACATTACATTTACCATATTTCTTTCTTGTTGAATTCTTTTGTTTTTCTATTTGCCGCATTGAGAATACTGTGGATGTAGAAAACCTACTAATAATTTTATGCTAACGTCAATTAATTAAAAAAAAGGGATTTTATAAATAAATATTAAATGTCAAAGTTTTCTCACTACCTGCTGACCTCGGCCAAATTTTGCAATATTTTGCGCTATTAATTGCGCAGTTTCCTTCGAAATTCACAATTTAAAATGTTGCTCAACTTTCTAGAGAATTATATGACCTTTCAAAATATTGGACATTTTTTGTATTCAAATTGATGGGTTGTCTATATAGCAACATATAGGTGGACAACACTTCTCCCTCAATCCCTCAATCCAATCTATGCACAAGATCAGAAAATTTTCTTTTTTGGGGAGAACATCAAGGTTATGCTTTTTCAATTTCATACTTTAAGGGATGGCACCGATATACCTTGTTGTGTTTTGCGATAAAGGATTTTTGGTTGAAAATAACTAGGGAAACTTTAAAATTTATGTTTTAAACTATCCAGTCCTAATATTGCAAGTATGGTTTGAAAATAGTTATAGTTCATTCAAGTCGTGATCATGTGAGAGATGCTTCCAGAATTGATAAAAATAACGAAACGAAAGTAACCAGTAGAACAGTAAGAAACCGTTTATTCATTGAAGCTCTGCACGGAGGAGTTGCTGTTCAAATCCCGCTTCCCTCAAAGAATAGAATGGCTCGATTGGACTTTGCCAGAGTTCTGTTGGTTAAAAGAAAAATGTAATACGTTTTTTTCGAGTGATGAAATAAAATTT